TAATGGTATATTGCTGTTATTACTGTTATACTGTTATATTAATGTTAATATAATGTTGTGTTATTGTTATATTACTGTTAATAATGGTATTATACTGTTATAATAATGTTATATTACTTTATTAATGTTATACTGTTATATTAATGTTATATAATTGTTATTAATGCTATTTATACTGTTATATTAATGTTAATATACTGTTATGTTAATATTGTATTACTGTTATGAATATAACAGTATAATAATATTAATGTTTTATTACTCTTATTAATGTTATTATACTGTTGTATTAGTCACTTTTGACCTGAATCTCTGCGTTTCAGTTGAGTTTTGTGTAAAAACATCATCTAATAATCTCAGTATCTATAACAAAAAATGATTTTCCTAATTTACCTTTTAATCATTTTTCTAACAGAAATCATCGTTTGTCTTATAATTCTTTTATAAAAGTGAGAATGTTTCTGCAGCATTCACACTATTCTGATTCATTTTTCTTCCGTATATTTTTCGGCGCAGTTCTCATCCTGCAGTTTTCAGCTGTTTCATCAAAACGTTCGGCTCTTTCAGGACAATCCTGCGGTGACTTTTGGTTTTGTTGCAGCTTTAGCTTTTTGAAATATTTAGCCTTGTCTGCCATTTTCTTCTCACAGAAAATGAACTGAGCTCATTTTACCTCCTTCATATCTTTAGCTCTGTTTACAACCTTTTACTGCTGCTTTCACATTTTGTTCTGCTTCAGCTTCTTTCAGCTTCCTGCTGCTAATTTCAACTGTTTTCAGCTACTTTCAGCTGTATTCTTCAGCTGTATTGTGTTTCTTTCTGATTCTTTCTACTAACTAGAACATTTTTGTGCTTATTCTACCTTATTTCTGCTAATTTCAGCTTTTTATGCGTTTCAGCTTTTTCTATTATTTCAGCTACCATTTAGCTGTTTTATGCAAATTTGAGCTTTTTCAGCTAATTTCACAATTGTTGCACTCATTTCATATTTTTTCAGCCCAATTCAGCTAAAATGCGCTTTCTCCACTTCTGGTAATTCAAGCTTCTGCTTTTTTAGCTTCTTTTCAGCTGTTTTTTTTTTTTTGTTGTTGTTGCTAATTTTAGCTTTTTTCAGATAATTTCTACTTCTTTAGACTAATTTCTGCTTCTTTCAGCCTTATTGGGCAAAGATGTTCTTTCTACTTTCTTCCGTTAATTTAAGCTTGTTCTACCTTTTCAGCTACTTTCTTGAGTATTTTTAGATAATTTCAGCCGTTTTCTGATAAATTCAAGATTTTTGTGGTAATTTCTGCTACTTGACATTTGATGTGACTTGTCACTACATAAATAAACTGAATTGAATTGAGTTAAAATGTTTCTGCTAATTTCAGCTTGTTATGCTTCTTTCTGCAAGTTGCAGCGTTTTCTATTATTTCAGCTACTTTTTAGCTGTTTTTATGCTAATTTTAGCTTTTTCAGCTAATTCCACATTTTTTAGCTCATTTCGTCTCTTTCTGCTTCCTTCTTTAGTTTAAGCTTCTTTATGCCTTTTCAACTACTTTTTTGCTATTTTTTGCTAATTTCAGCTTTTTTTTAGCTAATTTTTGTGCTAATTTCTGCTAATTTATACCTAATTCATCAAAAATGTGTTTGTTCTGCTTTCTTCAGCTAATGAAGGCTTGTTCTTGTAACTTAGCTGCATGTCAGCATGTTTTTGGCTACTTTCAGCTGTTTTTCAGCAAGTTCTTCAGCAATAAGCATTCACACTGCATTTTTGCAGGAAATGCAACTTCTCTAGTTTCCTTTGAAATAGACCTTTTCTTGTGGCTGGCAGCCAGAATACCAGTAAATCCCTTCGTATAACATTTGACATCTTTGAATATACAGCTAGAATTGCCAATGACATCATTCTGTACAAAATAAAAACGTCTTCAAACCAGCAAAAACTGACAAATTTCAACAAACTGCATTTCATTTTGAAGCTTCTGGAAAATGTAAAACTAATAATGAAGATACGTCACTGACTCATTCTGTCAGCTGGGTCCGAATCATTCACTGGAACCTGAGCAACAAAGTTTATCTCTGCAATATGTAATACTGAGTACGTGTGGGATTCATGAACTGGTGGAAGACGTGTTCTCGTAGAGCAAACAGGAAGCTGCTGCAGGACAGGCTCGCCATGAATTCTTTTGCTTCTGTTCCAGATGGTGATGGAAAGTGGGGACTGGCTGGTCGGGGGCGACCTGCAGGTTCTGGACAGGATCTACTGGAACGATGGGCTTGACCAGTACCGACTGACACCCACTGAGCTCAAGCAGAAGTTTAAAGAAATGAACGCTGGTATGGAGACACAAGTTCCTTAATTTCTAAATGAGCACCATGAAGGTCATGTGATCTTCAACCAACGGGAAACCGAGTCACGCTTTTATAAACCGCCTCATTTTATTTTCTAGACTGAAGAAAGAAAGAGCTTGAGTGACTGTGGGGGTGTCCCAGAATAAAAAGCTAAAGTTTGGCGTTCATAATGATTCTGAGTCGGCCTTCAGCTGCGGGACGACCTTTGGGTTCAGGCCGTTTGCTTCTTCAGGCGCTGGGGAGATCGTTTTAACACCTGTTTTGTGTCGTCTGTGTTTCAGATGCTGTGTTCGCCTTTCAGCTTCGGAACCCGGTCCATAACGGCCACGCCCTCCTCATGCAGGACACCCACAAGCGTCTCATTGAGCGAGGTTACCGCCGGCCTGTCCTGCTGCTGCACCCGCTGGGGGGTTGGACCAAAGATGATGACGTGCCGCTGCACTGGAGGATGAAGCAGCACGCCGCAGTGCTGGAGGAGGGCGTTCTGGACTCGGACTCAACTATCGTGGCCATTTTCCCCTCGCCCATGATGTACGCGGGGCCGACTGAGGTAACGACGATCAGGGCTGCCGCTGAGCAAACTGAGGTGCAGCTGTGAAGCACGATGGCTGACTCAGGGCAGAAAAGTGTCTCCAACTGTCTGAAAGTCGTTGAGTGACAGTGGACAGGACAGAGACGGCTGTCCTGAGGCGCTTGTTTAGTCTGCTCCTGCCGAGCGTGCTGGTGGAACGTGGACTCAATCATTCACTTATGCTAATAGGAAAGCTGTGGTGCAAATCATTGGAAACACATTGTTGGATGTTGGGCTGTGAATGTGATCAGTTTCTAACTGGGAACGGTGGATTTAGAGCACAGCCCCTCCCCTTGTTCACCATTCACAACAATGTGCCGCTCCAGTTATACGATGATCACTTTGACACATTCATCTGAAGCAAGGCGTCGAGACTAGAATTAAAATCACTGTATTTTTTAAGTTTAATGTAACAACCAGATATCTGAAAAACAGAAATAAAGGAGCACAAACTTTTTTTGTAGATTTAACAATAATTCTTAACAGGAAAATAAAACTCCTTCGTGTTCAGGGTAAGTTAAAGTGCTGTTTTGGAGGCTTATCGGCTAACACTACGTCCTTTAGTTCTGGAAAGCTATAAAAAATTTAAAAAAATCTACAGTAGTCCCCGTTTATCATGGGGCAGCCGTACCCTGAAGCCCCGCGATAAGTGAAAAACTGCCAAGTAGGGACAGTAGTACAAATAAAGTATTAGTTTATTATGTGTTTAAAACTCTTCCCACACTCTTGAAACATTCTAAACAATGTTTCTAAACTCTAAACGCTCTAAAAGAGACAGCATGTCATGACTTCAGCTCTCTGCCTCCGCTGCTCTCAGCCACCTGCAAGCGCTCTCGGCCACGCCCACTTCTCCGCTCTGCATGGAGATCAGCTGATCAGCTGCAGGAGGAAGCTTATCCTGCATTGTGGGCTTCACAAAGGTGCAGCAGGTGCTAAATAATTTAAAATAATTGATTTAAAATAAAAATCCCATTACGATCGTGCGGCTCATCCATCAGTCAGCCAGCTGTGTGTCATGTCCAATCTTATTTAAAAACCGCGATAGAGCAAGTCTGCAAAAAACGAACCACGAAGTAGCGAGGGACTACTACAGATAACATTTTTAATTAGTTGTTTCTTAAGGATTTTGTTTTTTATTCTAGTTTACCTTATACTTTTTGTAGATTTGACCTTTTATAGGATTTTAAACTGTTACTAAGCATTACTTAAGACATGTTTGTGTTTATTGGCAAACTGCTTAAGATGCAACTGTGTCCAGATGTGTCGGTCCCAGAGTGCAGTCTGTGTTTTCTGAGGTTTGTGGCTCCACATGGTCTTCTACGATTACAGTTGTCAACTCAGGACAGATGTTAATAATCTCTGTTTTCATTTATTTCTCCATAAATTGGTCAAAAATCAGAATCTGTTGTATTTAGATTTAGTTCTAATTATCAACCGATCTAGTTAAAGTTTACATGATGAGCATTAACGCCTTGCTGGAGTGTCATTATTAGCGTTGTTGATGTTGTATGTTTCATTTCACCTTTATTTAACCAGACACAGGCACTAAGAACAGATTGTTCTTTACAGAGCTGGCCTGGCAGCACCAACAGGTCCTTGTAGGGTCATGGGAAACAATACAGTTAGGAAAAACCATGAAATATAGAAGTCCTTTACAAACAAGGAAACACAAATTAATTAAGTTCATTGTCAAAGTTACACGACAACATTACTGAGCTTGAAAACATTTACAAGTATCTTTAAAAACAACTTTTCAATAAATTTTAAAACTTTAAACTGAGACCAGTGAGGTCAGACCCAAAGTTTTTGAAGCAACTTCCAGTGAGATGGAGCAGCAGAGCCAGACTTGGTCTTTAGATCGTTAACCACAAATACTGAGAGGATCGGCTGTTGTACTTCCAAACAGGTGCCAGTTCCAGCAGATGAGTTAAATATGGAGCTGAATAACCAGCAACTGTTACCTCTTCTACAGTATCACACTTTACAGTGGTGAAGTCCACCAAGGTGGGTGTGGTTTCTCCTCCATGACCGAACAACATAAGTGTAGCTTTCTTGGCATTTAAGTACAAATATAAGTCAGAAAAGATCTGCTGGATTTCAAGAAAACCACATGCAAAGGACTTCACAACCTCATCTGGAGTAGAACCAAAATCATATAAAATATTGTCATCGGCATATAAATGGATGGAGGCCTCACTAACAGAATGTGAGCTATCAATTATAAATATGGAGAAAAGCATTGGGCCAATAATGGAGCCTTGGGGTACACCTGACATAACCAGAAGAAACTGTGAAGCATGAGAGCCAGCCTTGACCTGCTGCGACCTGTTTGAACCATGTTAGTGGCTGTCCTGACATTCTAACATGGTCAAGGTGCTTCAGTGAGATGGAAGGATCAACGGAGGCAAAAGCTTTTGCTAAATCAATGAGTATTGATCCACAGTCCTGTCTGGAGTCCAGTGCAGATGCTGGATCATGGAGAACTTTCAGAGCGGCCGTAATGCAACCATGTCCTAGATGAAAGCCAGTCTGGGTGCTGGGCAAAATATTTAAAACCTTCAAGTAATGTGTAAGGTGCAGATATGAGTCTGGAACCGTTAACATGGCTCTGACTCCCACCCCTAAAGAGAGGGCGACCAGCGGCAGCCTTCCACTCTGCAGGAATTTCAGCACTTAAGAAAGAAATGTTAAAAATATTCACTAATGGTGTCACAATAAATGGAGCCTAGTTGTAACGGAGCTGTCGGTAAGGTAAGTTCAGTCCATCTTTCGTAGTTACATCTGGTTTTTCTTCTTGCCGCAGGTCCAGTGGCACTGCAGAGCACGTATGGTGGCTGGTGCCAATTTCTATATTGTTGGTCGAGATCCTGCAGGCATGCCCCACCCTGAGACAGGAAAGGACCTCTATGAGCCCACTCATGGAGCCAAAGTCCTCACCATGGCTCCAGGTCTCATCACCCTGGAGATTGTACCCTTTAAGGTCGCTGCTTACAACAAGGTCAAAAGTGCAATGGACTTTTATGATCCCAACAAGTAAGTACTTGGTTTTAATGACTAATTTAGGTCTGGTGTGGTAAATATGTAGGAATGGCTCACAGGAAGTGCTTCCTCACACTTACTTTAAAAGTTTGTAGATTTAATCCAGGCCTCACATTTAGCCCACATGGGCCAAAGAGCTTGAACAGAAATGAAATGATCACAAAGTATTTGTCATTAGTCTTGTGTTGTTTACGACGTGGCCTCGTTATCCACTTCATGTTTCATCTGTTGGAACGGTGGAGCCACGAAACACCAAAGCTGTTGTTTTTTCTTTCTCAGTTAAAATGTTCCTCGGATCAGTTTGACCCTCGATGTTGCTCAGAATCAGAGCTGCCCTTGATTAAAGTCTGGGCGCAGCTCACGGTGACACAGAAAAATCCTGACGGTTCTTTGCTCCTCTGAGTTTGATGAAGCCACGTCTGACAGGTTACTTAACTGTCGCTGCGTTCAGCCAGAAACGTTGGACTCATCAGAAGACGAGCTTTGTTTTCCTTCATGTGTAATTATATCTAAAAATTCAAAGCTCAGTGTTGGTTAGCAATGAAAAGGTCTTTCTGTGGAAAGAAGCCTTGGTGCTGTTAGATGTTTCAAACTATTACTGGAGAAAACATCTGGATTGAATGTCATAGTTCTAATTCAATGTCAAAATATTAACGAAGGGGTTACAATAGTAGCAATATCAGTTGTTCTCATCAACTAAAGATAGTTGATGAGAACAGACAGTTATTATTGAGGAAATAAATGTGTTGTAATCGGCTGCAGTCGTTCACTTCAGGACTTCAGGGTGTTTCAGTCTGTTGGACAGTTTTCATGAGACTGCAGGAGGAACAGGATCTCAACGAGTCCTGAGCTTCATTTCAGCATAATGCTTCAAAGAACACTCACCACAGACTTTTTGAATGGAGATGGTTCACCTAACTTTATTTTTACAGCCAATAAAATTAAACATTTTCAGACATTTTTAACTAATTTAAACCAGAAAACCATCTGTTGATGAACTCCTCCACCATCTGTCCTCTGTGTCCTCTGTCCTCACTCCAACTACCTCCATGTCTCCTCTTTGTCTTTTTCCTGCAGCTGCATTTCTAACATCCTTCTACCAATATACCCACTGTCCCTCCTCTGGACATGTCCAAACCACTGTCCCTCCTCTGGACATGTCCAAACCACTGTCCCTCCTCTGGACATGTCCAAACCACTGTC